ATCAGACAAAGATAAATTCTTTCACTCACGTTAAAGTATTAACAATAAGATACATTCATTTAATTCAAGTGAAACAATTCCAGATGCAGGATCATACAGCATCAATTTTAAGATGGCCAAATGCGATTCAATAAAGCAGCAGCATCCTCAGGTTACAGCAGTGTCGTGAAGTTCGTTTCATGTGCAGTGAACCAGTAGACATTGTCCGAGCATTTTGTGTAACAAATAATACATGAGGGCGATCGACTCTAGATAGGGCCTTTCTCCAGAAGTGCCAGAGCTGTCGGAGAACCACACTGCCTGCTTCAGCTGTCACAGAACTTCTGCTGGCACAACCCACAGTGGGCATGTCAGGATTCAGATCGATGAGTCAGACACTGGGAGGGTGGGGAACAACATGTCATGTCAAGGTGGAGGAAGAGTATTAGGCAGCAAGCAAGATGCCAAGTCTGGTCTTCTGGTGTATAAAAAGATACTACGCTTCATCCGATCACGCTACAAACACTACTGCAGGAGTTCTTAGACTTCTTTGCGCAGTGCCACGCGAACACTGCTGAAGATCTTGCCCAAGGCTTCAAAGAAGGGATCGCAGAAGGTCTGGATGCAAAGGGAGTAGATGCGGCTCACGCACTGCGACTCAATCAGGCAGCTCTTGATGCAGGGCACCACAGCCCAGATGTGGCAGAAGGAGATGCAGGCAAACAGGAAGCCCCAGAGCAGGGCCACGGGGATACCAAAGACAGCAGACAAAACGCGGTAGCACCAGTATTTGGAAACAGTGAAAGTGGTGTAGCTGAGCTTCCACACCCCATCCAGGCTGTGTGTACCATCAGGCTCTGCAATGACATCCTCAAACTCCACCTAATAAGACATTTTAAAAAGCCATTCATTAATACCGATACACAAGAGAACAACGCTTTCAGAGCAAGCGTCACGCACATGGCAATGACATGCTTAATAATTAGTAATCATATGCCTCAGAAAGCTGCAGTGTTGGCGCATGCAGAGAAAATAACTGTTTGTAGCACTTTGTGCCTTTCAAACAGAGAAAAACTGAGGAGTGTGTTTAATGCAGCATCGTAATAATTCTAAAAGCTTTATTGCAGCACAAACCGAAGATAAACTCGTGTAAAATTCATGAGAGCTATTTTACATTGGTCTGATTTGGTTTTTAGTTTTCTAAAGTGCAGTCTTGGTAGGCTGCTTTTTCAGCTCAGGCTCAGTGATGAAATGTTATTCAAGCTAGAAAGTGATCATGTCCACATCTAAAGCATTTTCTTTGCTTCCAGAACATTGGTTATGATCAATTTGGGAGTAAAAAGGCTGTTTTCCGCAGAGATAGCGGGGTGAGATTATACTTTGAATGAACAAATGAATGAATGAATGCACTGCTGTTCTATATTTTTCTGCATGGTCTGGGCCATTTCAGGCATTAGAGTACTATTAGAGGCATATGTAAAGCAAAAAGCAGTGTAATTTTAGAAAAACCTAACACGCACGTGGTTCATACATAAGCTGTCAAATCCTCTGAAGGATTCTGTGACTAATTGAAGGATAGCGTTTTCATGGATCATAAATCATTTTGGTTTAATGAAAAAGCAAAGAATATGAAGTGTTAGCAAAGAATTGGATTACATTATAAGTGCTAATTCATCAATAAAAGTACTATCTATGCAGGAGTAAATGGATCAGAGATAGCCCTTACAGTTTGATAAATATTTCAGTTATTATGAGTTACTGTTGTATAATTTTCTGAAAACTGACAAAAGCAAGCCTGTAAATCAGTCATGAGCTTACACACTACACACAATCACAATCCTCATTGTTTAAATGTTTACCTTAAGTCAAACAATATATAATCTAAAGTATGGTGGGTTCTGTCCTTACATAAAGGATTTTGTGGTGAACACATGGCAACAATCACAGTATAAACAGTAACTTAAATAACACATCGTGGCACAGTGTATCAGTTTCAGGCTGTCCTGCCCCTTTCCTAAAATAAACTTTGCGTTCTGCACAAGCAACAGGAATAGCTCTTGGTCTATTTTTTTTTTTGCCGTTACACTCATATGTTATCACTTCTTTTTTTTCCAGCAACCACTTAAAAAAAATCCACATTTCCATACATGCAAAAGCAGGTGACAGATTCTTAAAGCTGTTAATGGCAGGGTGTCGTGTCCATGCTGCACAAACCTTCACCACGTCCTCGTTGATCTGCTTGGGATCTCTGTTAATTAGATCTATCTCTTTGGTGTGGCTGTCCTTCACAAACTTCTCCTCATTAGTGTTGTACTGGTACTGATCCGCCATGGTCGGGCTGCAGGTCCTGGATGAAGAAAGTGAAGATAAACCTTTAATCAACCTGCGCGCAGCAGCCTCAGTTCGCTTCTGACCTGGTATCACTACTGTGCCGCTCCCGCTGACATGCCAGGGGACAGCTGCTGCAGACGCCCTGGTAAAAATGGAGGCCTGACCCCCCCCACCCCGCACGCACAGAGAAGGTTTACACTCACACACTTGCACACAATGTAATGCACACAGACATAAAAGGAATGTCTTAAAGGAGAACCCAGGGTTGTGTCACATTTCACACAGGGTTGTTGGGCTGACTGGGCCGGGTTTGCACAGAGGCCCCAACTTCCACTCGAAAGTGAGGCAGAAAGTCTCATCCTGTGGCTTTAGTTACTACACACAGTCTTAAGACTGGAGCTAAGTTTAGAGGATTGACTTTAACATGTTTGCACGTCAACAATCAATGATAACAGCACTCTGTTCCATTAATGTAATGGTAATGTAATTAATTAATGTTCACCTTAACACTCAGACTCATCCTCCATGTCCTATTTTTCTCAGCTTAGAATTTGTATTATAAATTATTTGAGGCACTGTATATTCTTTTAGAGGGCTTGTCGGGAAGGTTTTGACACACAACAGAGTGCTCAAATACTAAGGAAAATACTGCTCCATCATTGGAGGCTAAGGCAGAAAATAGATAACAAAAACAATTTAGCTTTTATATTCTAATCAATATGTTTACTTTCATAATGGTAATCATAACAACAATGTGACTCAGTCATTACTTTCCATACGCTGTGGTACAGAGCATGACGAGCCCACACAAATGCATGTCCTTAGCCTTCTCGTATACTTCTGATTTAGTCACAGCGAATACATAAAATTCAATAGTCCCCAAAATAAAACAGGCTTCAGTCTTAAGCTCTGCAGTTGTTGCTATCAGTCATAGCTTTCTATATCAGTATATTCCCTAAACAAACTCATACACTATTGCTGCAACAAAAAAAGGAGGTGGGGAATAGGAGGCAGCGCAGAGATTGCTGTGATGAAAATTGTTTCAAAGGCTCTTAGCACCACCAGCAGCACCGGCAGCTCTGTGTTGCTATGTATCTCAAACAGTTGCGTGTAAGAGAAGTACAGGAAGCTCGACTGTGGATGAAGGACTGGCATTCCTTGTCCCAGTTTCCTGTTGGTAGAGACGGAGATGAAGAGGGAGAGGTGGAATGAGATCAGAGTGCATGTGATTGGGTGCCAAGCCAATTAGGGGTGTATTCTTGGCACTGAGGCAGACGGACAGAAATAGCTCTGCAGAGAGTCACGGTGGGCATACCTCTGCCTCCATGGGTGTCGGCGCAGTTAGCTGAGACTGCACTGGCTCTTGTCTTCCACTTAATGTACACAGACACAAGCGGGTCTCATGCCTATATTTAGACTCATATAGAATGTAGTGGGTAGAGTAGGTATCACTAGCTCAGGTTATATTACGCACACAGGTGGTGCTCCCTTTGCAATGAGCACTGCTGGGTGTGTAACTTGAGACAAATACAAAATATGATTTATAATGAAATGAATTTCCAATAACAATAAATTCTTACACTTGTTTAATCAAATATTAGGTTTGATCCTACAAGCTGTACAAATGAGGTGAATCACAACATTTACAGATTTGTTTTAATTTCTCAAACACAAGGGGAAGCACGCTGGTTCAATAGTTAGTTTTGCATGTTCTGCATGTCTGCATGGGTAATTGGGCTTTCTTCTACAGTCCAAAAATTTGCTTGTCAGGTTAATTGGTGTATCTAAATTGGAATATGCAGATGTGATTGGGTGCCTAGGCAATCAGAGGTCTCTATTTGAATATGCAGATGATGGTCTGTATTTGACTATCATCCACAGATAATGGCAGACAGGTTCCAAGGTTGCACACCTTCTGGCTCTTAAACTTCCACTCCTTTCGATTTACACTACATTTAACACAGGAGGCTTTCTGTTATAAACGTGTTACTTCCAATCAAGCTAAAAGAAGATTCAGAGGAACCTTTTTCCATAGAAAAATAAATCAGAGTGAAATTAGTTGTTGGTCTCCACCTTCAGCTATCATCTTGTTTAGTAGAAACTACTGCATATAGCTGGATTCAAAACCTTAAACCAAAAGTTGTTAGCAGGTGTTGAAACTTTTTTTTTTTTTACATATTGCATTCATATTGTCTTCATTAACCTCACATACACATCAGTCCATCCAGAGGACTGTCCAGTGCTCTGCTAGAGCTCTTAACCTCCTAATCTGTTTTTATAATCAGTTCAAATTTTATGGGTGGATTAAATTGGAAATTAATTGCAATATTTGTCATTCACTTTGCTTTCAGTGGATTATTCTTTTACATGTGTATTAAGGAGGTTTAAATATAATTTATTATTGAATTATTATTTATTAATTCCCCTCAGTGTATGCTTTTTGTGTTGCCCTTATCTAGACAGCCAAAAGGTTTTATGCATAATGCACTATAATATTTAGAAAACAGAAGACTAATTATATATTTCAGCATGACAAATTACACGATAAGTGAATAAAAACAGAATAATCACAGATGGTTAAAATACAGATGATCATTTCCCTCCCAGCAGAATTAGTATGCAGTCTGTCGCCGCTGTTCATGTGCCATAATTGCTGTTTTAACCAATCGTTTCCACACAGTGTGCTTCCATCAGTTTTCATCTTTTGCCAGAAGGATGGTGACTTGACCACAGCACTTTCCAATACTGGTAAAGAATGGACTGATAAAAATGTTCAGTATGCTGGCCCACACAGTCTGAACCCAGCGCATATTGATGAGAAGGAGCTGCACACATGGCACGATCAACCTGAAGGACACAAAGAAGAGGACAAAATATGAGCTCATTTAATAAAAAGGAAGTGAAAATCATTTTGGACTCCTGGATAGAGTCCCCTGAATGTATCAGAGAAAACGTGACAACCATTTCTGCCTAAAGATTCTTACTTAGCAGAAAACTAGTGCAGCTATTCAGTCTTGTCTGTAAGTCTGCTTGTCACAGTGTAAGCGTCCTACCAGATATGCAGGCAGCTGAGCACAGCAAAGAGGAGCCCTGCTGCCAGTGAGACTGGCACAGCCAGCAGGAGAGAGATGAATCGGTAGCACCATAGTCTGGATACCTCAAACAGGGCGTGACTCCATAGCCACACTTTATCAAAGCTCCGCACAGAGGGGGGTTCTGCAATCACATCCTCAAACATGACCTCCAGACACAAACAGGGAGACTGTAAGTGATTCCTATGCTGGCATGAATGCCGTTTGCATGTTACAAATATCAGAAAATGATCATGAGAGATGAGGTAAATGAATGTGTTACTGTATCAGAGAAACAAAACAATACTTTATAACAGTGGTCCAAAACTATTTCTGCCATGCTCTCCCTCAGATTCCAGTAAAATTTCAATACACTCACTCCACAATTTTTATTAATGACTAACAATAAAAAATCATTTACATGTCACTAATAGCACTATTAGAGTGTGTGCATATGTCCACTTGAGGTCAGTATTGGGAAACACATTATTATTATTAAACTGGTAATTCCTCTTTCATTGAGTGGAAATTAAGCATAAGGAAAGTTTTCAACAAGGACTGAATTTATCCAAACTGGATAACAATTTACTCTTACAAACTTTTTAATTGGATGAGTCACGTGTACAACAACAGCTTAATAACTAAATCTGAAACACAGATTTAGTTACTAAGATTTAGTGCTCCCTGTCTCGTGTCCTGTACTGTGTATTCTCTGCTCATGTTTCTGCTGGTTGCACATTGGTTACCTTAAGACTGCTGTTGACTTTTTTGGGATCCCTGTCATAAATCACAGGCCTCGTGTCACTGTGGATGAAGTCCAGAGCTTCAGAGTGAACATCCACCTTTACTTCCAGCAGTTCCCCCAATGGTCTCTTGTCTTTCAATCTTTCGTCCTCCATGTTCAATAAGCTGCGCTGTGTGTCTGAATGGTATCATCGAAAACAGGGAGGATGAGCAGGAGGACGGCTGGCTTGTTGCTAGCACCCAGGTGGAACATAGTATTCTGCTGACTGAACTGACTGCTGTTGAGGAATGCCTTTATTGGCTTTTACAGCCGTGCTTTGACATTTTGTGACACACTACATTATAAGTCTCATTTGTGCCTGCATGAGAAATATCCATCACTTGTGGAATCAAATCAGTCCTGACTTCCTGCTTAAATATTGCCAGGGTGATGATCAGGGGGAGTACTCTGGCACTCACATTACAGAGTTACAGACACATTACAGACAGTGTTTGGCAGTGTTGGTCAATTAAATATAGACTCCTCACCAAATCACCAGCTCCTTGCTAGCAGTCCCTATCCCTCACAGCATAAAGTAAGCTGTCCCATTGATTTTTTTTGTATTCGTTTGTCTATTGTAAAACCGTGCCTGTGTAGTCACTTTTTTTTAACTTCAGCATGGCTCCTTGTATCAAGAAAAAAAAACCTCAAACCTTAGAGTCTTTAAATTGTCCTCACAAAATGAATCCTCATTCATTTCAAAGCATCAAATTACAGTGTGAGCTTTATGTATTGATTTCATATCATATTAAGTGTATTTCTATATTTTATTGTGACTTTTTCTCCCCTGACCTTTAAAAATGTATTGCTGAAGGTTTCTTTCACTTAAGTGTGTGGCGTAGGCGTGTTTTTAACATGTTCTTTGGTACTGCCCTCTGAATTAATCAAATGGATCTTTCAATTCAATATTCTGGGCACAACTGTGCTGTAAAGAGTGTCAGATTTGATCATAGACAGCTCTGTCGCATCTGTAAGACTTAATATTCTGTGAAAAAGAAGACAGCCAGACACTGCAGACAACGTCTATCCGGTTATGTGTTGAAAATTATTTCAAGTCTTGGTCTTGTTAGAGATGTCAAAATAAAAGGATGTGAGGAGGATTGACTGGTATGTAGCACACTCTGTTGGTCATGGTTCTTCATTGCATTTTTTTTAATACATCCCTGTTACATAAAGCAGCTATTCCACTCACACATGCTTAAATTGCTCTTTTTCCCCACATGCTTGGGATGCAGTACTGTGGTAGTGTTGGCAGGATCTGATTAGCTGATGATTAATAGTGTTTGGCAACCACTGTGATGAAAAGCCCCTGGAAGACTGTGTTATATGATTGTGTTCACAGTCAGTAGATTCACTTATTATTAAAAGTTGCTTACATAGTTTAATCTAGCTTATAAAATTATCATTTTAATCAAAGTCATATCATCAGTAAAAATTAAGAGGAAAATCACAGTAAAGCAGTGTATACTTACAGTTTGAAAAGATAGCATAAGCACTGCACAAGTACTTGGTTGGGTATACTGCTAAAACACCCAACCAGAATTAAAATATCAAGTGTACTTTACCCAGATTAGGTTCTGTGTGCATATGGAAAACAATAAATGAAAACATAATATTAAATAAAACTAATAGCAAAGCCCAGGCCATAGTGGTATGACTTATAGTATTGTGTGTTTCTATTATTATTTTCTGAAAATGTATTAAAACTGTACAAAATAAAACCTGAAAACAACAGTCTAGGTCATGATTTGTGTTGAGCTAGAATTCTTCACAGCATTCATCATAGCTGTATTTCACTATGTCCTCTGTCTGTAGCTCACAGGCCCAGATGAATTGCCTGAAGATCTGTTAAGGAGGCAGGCACACTGTGATTTGAAATACCTCAAATCTTCATGACTGGATTTTTTATTGTCACGCCAGCTGCAAAATAAAAACATCAAAGAGTGCATACGTCTGTGTTGTCTGTGATCAGTTTGTTCCAGATCAGGCCTTTGAAATGTGTGTGTCAAAGTGAGTGTTCTTTCCTTTGCCACTATTCAGCCGGATGAGATAACACTCAACAAATATCTTAAAACGAGCTTTTCTTCCCCCACCCCATCCTTCAATTTCCTCTATCTGCGCAGATATAAACTATTGACAGGTCTTGAACCTCTAGAATTACATTTTCAGATTCAAAGGGTGGTAGATCCACACATAATATGAACATCAGCAAACAGGCACAAAAGCACCCAACACCAATAACCCGCTGCTGTTTTATACTCCCCACAGCTCTGTCAGATTTGAAGAGAGAGGTCAGACTTCTGTCTGACCTTTTTTCCTGTTACTGTAAAAGAAATACTCGTACATTTCAAAGCTGTTTCCACACCAGCTGTGTGTGTATGTGTGTGTGTGGTCGTGAGAAATGATATGATGGTGATCCAGACTGTGCACGGTAAGAAAATTCCCCATTAAAGTATAAGACTGTATTATAGGATTGCTAGTATTAAGATCTTCAGAGTGTACATCCACGTTTACTTCCAGCAGCATTCTCGTTAATTTATGGTATGTTTACTGTAATTTACAAGTAAAATTTGTTACTGTAAAATTTATAACACAGTGCTGTGATGCTGTGATGTGATGAAGCTTTGCCTTTTTAAATTGGTGCTACTGTATTCTCAAAAGAGTTTATTAAGCTATGTAAACTATAAATTCACCTTCTATTCTTTTTTCTTTATTTATGAAAAAAAAATCCAATGCTTTGATTATGAAAAACTGGTGTAATCAAAATTTTACCAGCTGTCCTCAAGGCAAACACACACAAACACTGGAAACATTACAACAACAAAGGCTGAAAACAGCCTAACTGGAAAAAAAAAGCAGAATAACAACAACTTATTAATTAATGATTCGAGCGTAAAGATTTTGTGCTTGTCATGAGAAAATACTGAGGTCACAGTAAAAATGTACAGTAATCGGTGGTTTACATTATCCCCAAAGACATCAGCATTTACACAATTTATTTTTGCATCAATGTTTTACTGTGTGTCCTACTATTAATCTCTTGATTGATGTGTGTGAGTCCTAAATTGTGCGTATTATTATTATAATCTCAAAACTGTACATTTGAATAATAGAGTCCTTTATGCTCCCTTGTGTGCTTCTGCATCATTAAAAATAAAATAAAAAAAGCTACCACGGCATTTACCCAGGGATTAAATATACAGCTACAGTAAGGTAAGAGTGGTGCATCGTGTATAGTACAGCAAGTGAAATGGTGTTAGCCGTTATTTGCTGTAACCACACTATTCTGTCTTTTTCCCTGTTTGTGAAAGACTAACACAAACAGCAGGGGTCATAAAATAGCACTTTGTCACCACTCTCAGAGCATAATCATTGCCCAGTAATGATTTCCATTGTAAATTCACTATCGTTTCCTCACCATACCTATGTCACTATTATAGTAGCCCTTATTTGCAGGGACTTCTGTGACCTACCTTCAGTCTTTCTTTGCATGTTAATGATCCGTATCTGAACTTCCAGACCTTTTAAATGTGAATTAGCAAACTCCAATCAGGATCTGATTCTTAAGTATACATCCAGCTGAAAGGTCGCTGGTGCTGTGCGAGTCACCTCCAGTCACTCAATTTCCACGACGACAGAGCCAGCTGATGCCCATGATCCATCAGCATATCTGTTGCACAGAAGAACTCAAAGGTATTAGCCCTCAGGTTCATTTGACCTCTGAACACAGAGAGCATTGGCACTTCTACGGGATTATTTGGTCATATATGATAACCACAAGCTCCTGAATATTAAATAGAAAGGCCCACAGCTTGGAAACATGTAGCACTTTAAAAATATCAACACAAAAATAGCATTTAAATATACATTATTATTGAGATATATAATATACTTGTTATTGAGAGGAAACCGGGAACCAACTCTCAAGACCTTATTATTGCAGTATTCCAGATTTACATTCATTCCAGATTTACATTTATAAACATATAGAAAATTACCACAAACACTGTTAAAATCTGAGAAATCAGAGAAAGGTTAAATTACGTTGGAGAATAGATCATCATTTCAATATTTCCGGTTACAGTACAACCACAGTCCCTTGACCTAAATAGGAAAACTTATCATAATTAAAAGATAAAATATCCTAAACATTATATTTGTACTTGAACAGATTTTTTCCAATACTATCTTAAAACAATACTGTCAATGTCCATATGTATGTTAAAAGCATTATTGTAACTGTTCCTTCTGTTTATAGAGGCCACTGGATTTTGTCCACCATCACTTATTCCTTCAAAAGTGGCCTGCTTTTCCCCAGCACGGACAGAAACATATTGATTAAGATCAAATGTCTTGCAAAAACAAAGAACAGCTACAGTGACTACATATTAGCTCTGCAGTACACAACTTCTGCTCATCATTGTTTAAGCATGCTCCTCTGGTATTTGTCCAGGTATCTTATTTACTTGATCCACAGTATGGGTAGTGGATGGTTGGGGACTGGAGTTGGCACAGTTGGATCGAGTTTCAGTTGTACTAGTGGTTCTTTGAATGAACTGCAGGAAGTTTTCCTGAAACGAACCCTCTTGGCTTGATGCCCCAAACTCCAAAGGCTGTGTAAGGCAGCAACGTCTAAACTTTACCAGCTCCTCTCTGATCTGTCTGTTCAACAGGCCGTAGAAGAATGGGTTGACAGCAAATGAGGAGTAGGCCAGCCAGGTGACAGCTTCCTCCAAGTCCCCAGGGCTCTGCATGGAACCAGTCAGAGACATCTGCAGGTGGAAGATGAAGTAGGGCAACCAACAAACCAGGAACTGGCCTACGATGAATACCAAAGTCAGTGCAGCTTTGCCTCCACTGAATGCCCTCTCTGGAGAAAGTCTTTGTGGCAGAGTACGGGTGGTAGTGATCATGGTAGTCTGGCTGTTGATGGAGTCAGAGCGATTCTTGGCAGGGCTTGCATTTGCCCATGTTGTTACTGCAGGGGCTTGCTGCAGGGCTGCAGAACGAGCCACCTTGTACACAGCACAGTAAACAGCAAAGATAACCACTGCTGGAGCCATGAAACAAACCACACTAAATAGCACTGCAAATACTCCTCTTAGGCGACTGTGGCTCGCGTGAAGAGAGCAGTGAGCCGCTGCAATCGAGCTCTGAGGTCCGTAAGCTGGCCATCCAAACAGTGTGACAATAGCCAAGAGGACTGACTTAACCCAGATCAGTAACATGACACCAATAGCAAGATTGATGGTCATCTTGACTTCATAACGCATTGGGTGTACAATATAGAAGTAACGTTCTACACTGATGGCTGTGATGGTGAGAATGGACAGACAAATGAGGAAAACATTAAGAAAGATGTAAACCTGACACTCCAGAACAGTGAACACAACAGTTCCAAAGAATGGCGAGCTGGATATGATCCCCAGAGGCATCAGGAGGATGGCACACAACAAGTCAACTGCACACAGGTGGCACACAAAGGCAAACCTCTTAAGGTGAGGCGCACGAGCAATCGCCACCATCACACCAGTGTTGGCCAACAAAGCAATGAGGTTGAGGGTAACCATGCAGAACAAACCGAAAAGATCTTTGATCTGTGACTGAGAGCTTGTGACAACACCCACATCAGCAGGAACGGTAGGATTGGGTTCCCACAGGGCAGTTGTAAGATTCAGAACAGAATGATTTGCCACAGAGGCTAACATGGACCTGGTCTTGTCAGCCATTATTAAATCGCAGCTTCCTCCATTTTTATCTCAGATTTCTTGATATGTGGATCTGTGTTGAAAGGAAATGGAAAAACTCTCATAAAACATCTATAAACATTTTAAAGTAGTTTAAAAGCAGACTTTACAAGCGTATTTATGTATCTATTAAAAAGGTATGCTTTCTATCTCTGTGTATGTGATCGCCTCTGTCCATAGAATGTCTTGCAATTTTATTTAATATGAATTAATTGAGAAATATATTGCAATTAAATTACCACAGTCATTTAATTCCTCACTGTGACTTGTTAAAAGGTCATAAGAATAATAGCAGCTGGTGTAAACATATTGATGGGTAAACTTTGAAACGTTTAGAGTAAAAACAATGGTTATACAACGTTCAGTCAGCTTACTAAACTGCTGTTAAATTAAAGAGTTGTGAGGAGAGTTGTTTCTCTTTAAAAAGTCTAATCCATTAACAGCCAGTACTCTAAGTGGTTTTACAGACTGATTTAGATCTAACTGCAATCTGATAAACCTTTGTTCACACGGCATTTTGTTTTCATCAGGAAGGAATTATTGACTCCTTTTGTTGTATTTGCAATGTCAGGATCAATTACGAGGAGATGATGTGATGTAGAAGTTATTATAATCACAACTGTGACTGAACAAATTTTGGTAGATTTTGGTAGACACACTAATAAAAGTAACTGAAATTATAAACCCATTGTTATAGTAAAATGTAGACAAGTACAAGTTATTACTTTAGACCTGCTGTAGGAACACACTAGTACCACTACTAGATACTGAAATAGATTGCAATGGTACACTTTCAAAAATTTCTGTGCCTTCATACATTATTGTGGGGAAAATATATTTATTGACTCCCTTTTGTATTTTTGTTTGCTTAATAAAGAAACAAATAGAGCACTGAAAAATGAGATCAAACTGAAATAACTTACCCATGAACCACTCTGTTTCTACACCATAGTTAAATCTGAATAGGTTAACCAAGTGTCAGTGCTGACACCACTATAGCTTAAATCCCACATATTGTTTATGCAGTCCCAGCTTTTTTGTTGTTCTTGTTAATACCACATGAAAAGTTTAAGAGGAGAGTTTCAGAGCTGCTAGACAGGTATATTCCCAATTCCATGACGGCTTTCCATTTTTAAATGATGCTTCTTCTCTTCCTTCTCCCTTCCTCTAGTAACACCCCAATTGCTGTTTGATGCTGTGTATGGCGGTGACTGTCACACATTGTATTGTGTGATTGTGTGAGTGATGTGTTTTTTGTTTTTTCAAGCGGACACACACTCCTCTGTCTTCCTCCAGAGCCCAGTCTCTCCTGGGTCCTAACAGCCACCAGTTCAAAGATTTATTTCTGTTTTTAATGTAGCTTACGTTGGCACTGCAGCGGTTTTCTTTTTACATCTATTTGACTTTAAATATTTTCAATTTACTGGATCTTAGGTCATCTACATCTTAAATTATATGTTTCATTGAGCTGGATTATAGTATACCTGTAGAGAACACCACTCACATAATACGAACTTTCCTAAACATTAATAAATAAATGATAAGCAGTGTTTGCAGCAAGCACAATGTGAGCTAGTATCTTGCAAAATGAGTCCTTTAAACCCTTTGCAATACAGTGCTTAAAAAAAATCATTAAACCACCTGTTATTAAAAAAAGAAACCACAAATACACACAAGAGAAAACATCTTAATCTTCACCAATATTCTATACTACATTTTCCACTTTTCTGTAAGATGATACATTTTTGGATAAATTCACAGATAATAACAATAACTTTA